GTGTGTGTGTGTGTGTGTGTGTGTGTATGTGTGTGTGTGTGTGTGTGTGTGTGTGTGTGTTCATGTCGCGCGTTAGTCATGTCAAAGCAGGTAGCGAGGTCGGAAGGCAGGCAGGCAGGCAGGCAGGCAGGCAGGCAGGTAGGTAGGTAGGCCAAAGTGCTTCAACTTGTGTCATTTTCTCATGGATGAATTATCTAGATACGAACATGAGGGACTTATTATCGATATGATCCCAAGTCCTTGAAGAAGAAATCCCCGTTCTAGACCCCGTGTCGCCCCCCGTTGTCATCTCATCGAGGTGTCTTATGTCCATCGATCAAGCATAAGCTGCCCACCCACAATACAGCACAGCCAGGTTCCTCTCGTCTGTGGCCTGTCTGATCAACTCGTTCACTGTGGCTTCCACGCTGAGGGCCTTGCCCAGTTTCTTCGCCACCACGGTCAAAGCGCGATCCGCTTCCGAAGGCTCGGTCTCTTCTCTGCGAGCGGCAATCACCCCGGCTGCGTTGTCGGCCGCGCCGACAAAGGTAGAGCCCGCTCCGCTCGTCGTTGAGGGAGTGGACGGTCCACCGGCGATACTGGCCGCATCGGCCGCGGCCTGTTCGTTGTTTTCCTGCATCTTCTGCAGGCGGAGCGGGGAGATGGACCACGAATACAAAGGGTCGTAGCGCAGCACGTCCAGGATGGTCATGATTGCTTCTTGGTCGTGGCGGAGGGCTTCGAGGGTGAAGTTGCAGCACCGCCGAAATACTCCTTCCACCCCCGTCAGGCCCATTCCGTCGACCAGGTCACGAGTAAGTCGGAAAGGCACAACCTCGGGCACAGGCAGGACGCGGCCGGCTTCAAAGGCGACGCCCAAGTCGATGTGGACCACTTCTCCGGTCTTCTCATCAAGAAGGATGTTGTGTCCGTGTCGGTCGCCTAGTCCGAGGACATGACCCAAAATGCTCACCGCGGCCGTGGATCGACTGTAGTTTAGCCGCTTGTAGAACCAAGCATCTGGGTCAAGGAACTTCTCCATGAAGAAAAATCGCATGACGGGGTGGAAATTCGCGGCAACAGTCTGGTAAGCTCGCACACGTTGCTCATGGTTCTTGGCCTGCGCATCAAAAATATCCTTTCTGGCGCGGCTAGCCTTGTAGTCCTTGGGATAATACCGCGCATGAGCAGGCAGCAGGTACTCATTCAGTGGGATAGTATTTTGGACAAATTCAATAACACCCGAGTTCTTGGTAAGGGGGATAACCTTGTAAGTTCGAATACCAAGGTTACGACGACGTGTGGGACGGTGATCTTTCAACAGATTGGAGACTTGTTCAAAGACTTGCTCCATGATTGCGTCTTGCCGCAGGTCGTCATTGCCCCCTTTCAGAAGCAGTTTGTGTCGAGACCCATCCGAGGCGGTGATCGTCGCAATCTTAGGAGCCGATACACCGCCAGCCACAGAGATGGTTGGATCGATCATGGTCGAAGTCGGGACCTTTGAATAGTTTCGATCTGCTCGCAGAGGAATGTTCATGGTCGGTGGGGGAATCTTTGTCGTCGGTTTCGTGATCTGAGCTTCTAATGCCGGACCATTTTGCAACTTGCGCAGTGGGAGTTTCGAGCCACTCTTGAGGTCTTTGTCGGAGAGTCCCTCCACAGCCACGCGATTCAGGGCCACGCAAGTATTGTGGACCGTTGTCCAGATCGCCGAGGACGTGCTTTGCTGCTTGACGCGTTCCGTCAAGAGGTTTGCTGCGGCAAACCTGGAAGCAGCTACTTCATCCCCAGGTGGAGCTTTAGACTTGCTGGTTGCAAATACCTGATATAAGCTGTGATACGGGTGATCAGAACAGATACGAAACATGAGATCCTTCAGGAGGGTCTGAAAGTCGTCCTGGATATCCAACAGACGAGAGGACAGCTGATTGACAAGTGGAGCGAACTTGAGAGTTGGGACCGACTCGAGGCACTTGCGCACAGCGGCGTTTGCTGTTGGACTCTCGGCTTGATTGAGCCACAGAGCAATAAAGCGGAGGGTATCACTTGGGTAGTCGTCAGATGCCCTCATCGACAGCAGGTAATTCTCCAGGCACCGAAGGATGAGATTCTCTCGGTTCTGTGAAACCCTTCTCCATTCTTCCTCGTCGAGTTTGTACCAGGTTTTGGCTCGGGCCAGATGGGTCTTTAATTTGGCTCGCTGTTGCTCGTTTTTGGCTTTTCTCACCATCCTGTCCAGCTCACGGACTTCGTGCATCTTGCGATCTCTGATTTTGCTGATACGCGTAAAGTCGTCCAGGTTATCCGTATCCTGAAGTTGCATGTCGCAGAATGCAGCAAAGTTATGAAACACGCGGCCGGCTGCAGCCCCAGTACGAGGCCCCTGGAGCTCTCGGATTGCTGGTGCGAGGTACCGTTCGATAATCTCATCCGGTTTCTCCAGACGAGCTTCGGCAATTTTGTGTCCCAGATCTGTGAGGATGTCAGCTCGTGGCACCGTGATAGCCTGTGTGGAACCATCTTTGCGATCTCCCAGGCCCTGCAGGATGCCAATCGAGGCGGAGACTTCTTCCTGTGCCCACAACGTCTTAGCCAGGTCGTAATGGATGGCGATGTCCACCTTTAGTCCTATATTTTCAGCCAGCTGGGTAAGCTGTGAGAGGTACATTGCTCGATTCAAGCTGAACTGTGGCGCCTCGTAACTGGACGCCATATCCAAAGACTGCCGTGTCATTTGGACTTCCAGGAGCAGCGCTTGCCGCATGTTCAACGAAAATGCTGCCCGCAAATGATTGTTTCGACGGATAGCCGCGAAAGCTGCTTCCCTGCCGGCCAAGATTGGTGACAACGCATTGAATCTGCCACTGTCAGTCACCATGAACGTAGAGTGTAACGAGACTTACTCTGCAAGTTTGATCCTTTGGTCCCTCGCCACTATCGCCGCACAGGTCGACTCTAGGGCTTCTGCCGTTGTTGCTCCCAAAATCTGCCTCGCCTCTGCCAGGACTGCCAACCTCGGATGAACATCACCGTGATGACCTCCCTTAACAGGGTTCGTTCGGAAAGTATCCCCATGCTGTAGCAACAACAAGTCCAGTTCCCGGGATAGACTGCTCTTGTTTGATACGCTGTGCATGTTGCGAAACAGTGACGACAAGGCCGTCGACAGTGAAGACGACTCACTCGTCCCAAACAAGTCCCAATGATCCAAGGCCAAGCTGTTCTCAACGGACATGTTTTTGTGAGGCCCTTCATAGTGTTGCTTTACCGCCTCTGATATACCCTGCATATTTGCAGCGCTCAGGGTCAATGCTGTCGCAAAGGCAACACCACCAAGTGTGTCTTCTGCCTCCTCCATCCTCAATTGAGAATCCAGCATCGCGCTCTGAAAAGACAGAGATTTCTGGCTTGCTCCTTCATGGCTCATTTTGCCGATGATCGACTTCAGATCGTAGCTCTGGTGCTTGCCATAAAAGAAATCAGGATCATCGACATTTTCATAGATCTTGGAGATAACTTCCGTCGAGACCTCGCTAATCATCGCAAACGACCTTCGGGAAGACCGGCCTGTCTGAAGTTGGGCTTGAGAATAGTGCAGCTCTAAGAAGAGCAGAGCCTCATGCCACATTTGACAATCACTTGCAGCCAACGCGGCCTTGCTGAAGTCTACCTCCAGCCAGGAGTTTCGTTGCGCCATATTGGTCTCATTTGGGAGGCGGCACTTTCGAAGATATAGAAGTGTTTTCAGCACCAATTTCCTGGCCTCACTAAGAGGCTGACCCTCGGATGAGAGAACTGCGGAGAAGGCCTCAGATAGTCTCTCACGGAAAACTTGGTGAGAGTCGGTTTCGGTTAGTAATATGAGATGGACGCTATATGGTAGCAGGATCCCGGCTGCATCGGGGACTGCATTGATCAGAGGTTGCAAAAAGCCCAGGAGAGGATTACCAGCAGCAGCTTCAGAGATCTGGATAAGGAGCTCTGTTGTCCAATCGCGCGATTGCCCGTGAGAATCTTGCAGTGTTCCTTCTTGTTTGCTCACGAAGCCGAGACTCGCGGATAGTGGCGCAGCAGGACATGGGAAATCCTTGAACCTCAACTCATGCACAATGCTCCTGTCAAAATCGGCGGCTAAAAAGGTGTGCTCGTCGCCTTCGTGCATATTGCTAGAGATGAGCTGTAAAGTACTTTCGGCCAAAGTTGACCCTGGGTAATCAGACTTCCAGACTAGATCCACGAGGTAGCGTACGATGTTTGTGTAGGACGAGACTGCCTCGAGTCCTACGTCCGGCGACTGTTTTGCCATCGATTGTGTTTGGTCGTGCGTAGTCGAAGTAAGCCCACTCATGAGATAGCCCCGTCCGATGCCCTGGGCGGCCCAGATGCGAAAAGATTCGTCTAAATCAAATTTCTTCAACAGGCTTTCCAGTGTAGCTGAGAATCGAGCAGCATCGAGGTCATTAGCAAGGATGTCGTCTTGAGAGTCCGACGGTGCGCCGAACTGTCGGCACAGAATTTTGATAGAGAGATCGAAATGAAAGTCTGACAGAAGAGGATTCGTACTGCTTTGGTCTGAAAGCAAAGCGTAAAGCAACTGCCCTTCGCTGGTGCTTTGCGCACTGCTTCCTCCCTGGGCTATACCTTTTGCATGCCGAATGATGTGCTTGTACCTTCGCAGTGTCTCCCCGCATGCATCTGTGAGCTCCAGAGATTCTAAATATTGCCCCAGGAAACCCCGAAATTCTTGAGCCTTGGTCATCGTTGACACGAATTGATCCTCTTGCGTAGTACTGTCCTGAGAAGATGCGATGAAGCCAGTGAGAGAAGCGAAGATTGAAACACACAGACCTGCGATAAATGAAGGCCGAGAAGCTAGGAATCGTGCTCCTCGACGTAGAAGAAATCGGTAGATGCCCATTGTCTCCTCAGCGCACTCGAAAATAGTAAGATAGGGACGTAGGTTATGTAGGATCATCTCCAGAGGGTACCCGTCCCAAGCAATGGGGCCAGCAAGACTGATGACGATGCGAATTTTGCGCATGATACTACAGGTGTGTAGAGGGCCCAGTGCTGGCCTTGCTCTGTCCAAAAGTTGTCTGTACAGATGGACTAAGAATGCTGGTGCCCATATATCACTCTCCTTCAAATCGAGTCGCAAGCACAGGTATTTGACCTCTTCCGGGAGACATCGTGCTCTGAAGCAGGGTTGTTGGGCGAGTGGTAGTTGGACATTTTGACCCGAACCGTTCACCATTTCTTGCCAAATGCCGAGACTCGGGCTGGGTAGGGCTTTTTCAATTCCCCTGTCATCTTGAAGAGACAGCACGAGCAGGGCCATAATGTCTGGTAGGCACTCACGAAGTCGCTGGAGGTATATTTGAGACCCTAGCTGCTTTCGCACCAATTTTTCCGAGCCATCATAAAGACGATCGTGCTTCGGTACGCTAGTTTCCGAAGCAAGAGTGTACGCTTCGGCATAGACAAAATTTCCGCTGAGTAGAAGATTCCAATCCTGACCAACTAGCTGAGCCAGTTCTTCTGATTGTTGAGACCCTCTAAGGGCGATCTGCCCCGTAAGCTCCCCGACATTGTCAGCAACCATTTCCTGCAAAGAGGCATACTCGAACAGTTGGAAAGGCATGCTGGCAAGGGTCTCCTGCGACAGCCATGTGTAGAATATCTGGGAAGAGAACAGCTTAAAAAGCTGCCTCGGCCGTTGGAGCTTGAGTACTTCGCACGTCCTGGTGATACAACCACGTCCGAGTTTTGTTGCAGAAGGCACGTGTGCGACTGTCTCGAATAAGTGATACATGGCTTGTCGCAGAACGGTATGCCATCGAGCCCCAAGATAAGACACAACATACAAGCGTACAGCAATGCCTTCTTTGTTGTCCGGGTCCGAGGGTAATTTGGTGACGATATCATCGAAGATTGCCTCGTGTTGAGTTAGGACGTACTTTTCGAAGATGTGAGACAATTGATCCGCAAGCCGATACTGGCTCGCCGCGTTACTAATCTCCAAGATATTCAACAGGCTTGTTCGGGGCGAGGGGAGATCTTCGCCACCATAAGATGCGTCCTTTCGTAGTAGGGCATCTAAAAGGTCCGCAAGTTTTGATAGTACTCTCGGGGATGCAACGCCTTTGCGGGTCATCGTGTTGAGGAACCAGTAATAAATATCATAGGCAGTGTCCGCCAAATCGTCTTCTTCGTCTTCAGCAGTCCAAAGATCCATGAAGCTTTTCAGTGCGTCGAGACAGAAACACAATGCGGATTCGCATCTCTCAAAGGCTTCATCCCGCAGATATAACTCGGCTAGCTTCTTGAGCAAGCGATGTGCATCTCCGCGAGTTGTTGCAGTGTTCAGATTGAGAAATTCTTGCACCGCTCCGCGGGCGCCAATGAGCAAGACGGGATCAAGCAACAAGACCTCATCAATGACCAGCCTAGTGACAGAAGAGTCAAAGACTCCTTTGGATTTGACCGTTTGAAGAGCCACTGTCAGCTCCACCAAGTGCTTCGCCAAACGCGCAGGAGCATCTTTGCATATCGGAAGGTCGAGCCTCGAGATGTCGATGCCCGGGCCAAGCTGACTTCTTTGAGTTGCCTGAGAGTCCCATACATCGTCGTCCAAGAAATCCAAGTCCGAAGGGTCGCTTGTACTTGTCGAGGGCATAGCATGACGAGCAACACGCAATGCAAATTCGATAACGGTTTGATATTCTTCGCCGAAACAACGGTTATCGTTGTGCGACAGTTGTTTGTGTGTGGTGATAACACAATCGCAGATACGATTGACCATTTCCCGAGAGTGATCGATGGTTTGGTTGACAATAAAGTCGGCGAGAATGCGACGGCTCTCAGCCAGGACCAAAGGCTGTTTGTATCCGGGCGCCTGAGGACTGCAACGAACCCATAGCGCAGAGGAGACGACGGAGGCCACACCTAGAATTTCCACAACATCGCTTCCAATATTTGAAGGTCGGTCGTTATAGATCACGTTCCATGAGTAAAGAAACTCTCTTGTCTTAGATGCTAGAAAATCCATGACAACTCGGAAAAAGCGAGCCATGGCAGACGAATCAAATTGGCGAGGTAAAATGTTGAGATTCCCATCTGTCTCGATTTTGGAAGGAGGAATGGCAAGAAGATACTGCAAGAAGTCGATGTTGTCTGACGCTATCAGGGCAGATTCGAACAACGAGTGCGTTGATGTCCAAGCTTGACTGGAAACGATCGCATCTGTGAGGCCGCAAATAGTCCCCAGCAAAGAATACAAGAGCTCTGGCTTAGCGTGACAGACAATATGTGCATTATGAAGGCGATCAAGATTCGAAGCTGCAGTAGAGAGTTAGTCTTTCTAGTATATGCTTGGACAGGAATAAACGTACGGACAGTCCAGCGAGCAGCGAGCCAGGAAATGACCTTCAGACCGAAAGACTCAAAGCGTCTCTCGTTGTCAAGCAGTTTAGAGCGCAGCGCCCGTGTCATCAGCAGTAGAGACGTGTCCGTGAGACTGCTGGGCCCATTGTTACCACCTCCGAATAAGGCACCGTCCAATGACTTTGCGCTTATTGACGACTCCAGCGTCCCTACTCTGAGAAGGACGTCGAGTGCATGGCATGCAGCCCTTGTTGTGGAGTTCGCTGTCATTGCTCTGCTCGCTGCATCCCACACTTGTGGCCAGAAATCTGGGGGCTCATGAGCGCGACTGGCATTACCGACCGCGAGGCTAGATTGCGATCAGCCATTGAACTGAATTCCGTTGAACAAACATACCGTGAAAACACCAAGAGGATCCATGTTTGAATGGTAGGATCTTCGCTACCAACGTCCGGTATTAGCTTGTAGAGATCCTTTGTCCATTCCTGCTCCATGCTTGAGGGCTGATCAAGGAGAAACAAAATGACCTGCAAAGCAACCAGTTTATCTTGCCCAGTTCCCACCACTGCTAGTTCGATAATCTCATCCCGACGGCTCTGAATTTTCTGTCTCTTCCGCGGAATATCATCTGCATCAGTTATAGGAGGCTGGGTATGTCTTTTGTCACTCAATCCAACAACAAGACACGCAATAGTGGACAATATAAACCAGCTGGATATTGCGCGCGGGGAGTTTTGAACAGGTTTGAATTGTTTGAGCTGCAGAGGAACATTTTCTGTCGTGAGAATTGGTTGCAGGTCATCAAAATGTAGCAGGTCCCTCTCGTTTCTAGTCCGATAGTCTGAGAGGATGGTGATTAAAAGTGGTTCTAGTAGTGCTGGATCGATCGCGGGCCAAGGCGCATTTGGAGAAAGAAGCAGATATCGACATGAGAATAAGGTGATGAGCATCTGTTGCTGAAGAAGGATAGACCTGCTAGGCCACGATCGCCTGATGACGGGAATGAGGCTAGACAACAGTGTCTGGGTGAAGGCAACATCTTCTGTAAGAGAGACAAAAAGGACGTTGTTCACGGTCTCAAATGCCCCTTCTTGACCTCTCCTATCGACTTGCAAGAAGTCTTGAAGTTTCTGGGCAATCATTGCTGCCCGTGACATGACTGGCGCATTGATAAAAGAGGTCAAGTGCTTCAATGCAGCCCAAATGTCTTCGAAATTAGAGGCATTTCCTTGACTCGTGCTCCTAAAGCTCGTGTGACTGAGTCGCATGGACAAATGCTGATGGTCTCTTGGAGTCATGCTGATATCTCTACCGCTTGAGACTCCATCATCAACCGCGCCATCATCTAGCCCAGCCGCCAGACACTCAAGCGCAAAGTCCACATATGCTTGCCACTGTTTGCGGCGCATATGTTCTCCATGCGGGGCATAGCCAAGCAAGATTCTGAAGCTCTTGAGGTAGTCATTCTGGAGAGGCTCGCAAAAAGAACCATCTGGCGAGGGCAGGGTGTCGATGATGTGGTCCAATACCGAGAGAGCAGTTTTGAAAGTGAGCTTTGGAGTAGCGACCTCGACCACTAGGCGGAGGGCAGCCGATGCCGCTTGCAAACGAGACGAAGCAGTGTTCCTCGTCGTTGGCTTGGTGGTGGCTCGAAGGAAGACAGGCTTCTCCTTGGACACTAGCTTATAGAGCAGCTCCAATATCCTATGGAAGATATCCTCCTCAATGTTGTGCCTAGATCGTCTGATCAGCCCATTGCTGAAAAGAAGCGAATGGGAAAATATACTGGCTCCTCTCATCCGCCAGCAGGCGTTTGAGGTCTAACGCAACGCAATCAGCTCCAATCGGTCAGATGATGGTCGAGTATTACCCTCGAGGCCTTCGCTTCTGAGTCTCTGAGTGTCCGCTCCTAACTTTGCTGTAATACAGATAAACATTGTCAGTTGGCAAGGCTGAGCAATAGGGAGACTTCGGGGAATCTCGAGTCCGTACCAACAGCTGTTGCAATATTCACCTCCGACATCTCTCCGGTCAGCAGAGTGGTAGGACTGACCTGGAGTGACAGTCATGATCTGAACAGGTAGACAACATATACATCTGAAAACAAGAACAAGTTACTGTGTACTTTGCGGCGCAATAAGGCGGAGAGTCGAGGATGCGAGAGCAAGGCGACCTGCGGACTTGGCAGCGCTAACCCGATTCGGGATTTGGAGGGATGCGACAAGCGTAAACTGCGATCGCGCTCTGACCTTTTTTTCTAGAGACGCGCAGGAAGCCAACCCCAAGTCAACAACTTCCCTCCCACCCTCCCCACGTTTCTCCCTCCTCGATGATCTCAATCTCGAGACACTCCTCATGGACAGTCTCTCGCGCCTACAAGGTCTCCATGCTGACCTTGTCGCCTTTACCGAAACGCGACTCGCCAACATCGACCGTCTATGGCAGGAACTAGAAGACAGCATTCAGGATTTCAGGAAACTGTTGGACAAGACCACACCAACTGCTGCTGACCGAGAGTCCTATAACAATGGTGTGATACATTTTGGTCTTCCTGGTGACTTATCCACTGATCCAAGTGCAGGGAAACTCAACGTTGTCGACCAGGAATATGCCGTCAATGATGAATTCAAGCATATCAGTCGGGCCATTGCAACCACCCTTGACCTAGACGAAATCGAGGCCGGACGACTGCTCATCCAGAGTCAGACCGATATCCACACCACAGAGGACACGTTTGTGATGGATGTGGTGAGCAAGTTTCATAATCGCAGAGACCTCCTGCTTCAATCCCTCCGAATCACCCTCCAACAGTCACTCAGTTTAGAGCCTGATGATGGGGTCAGACGAGTCTTTGAGACCACTGTTGCCCGAGTTTTGGAGATTGATGGTGGTGTGTCCAATAACGGGTCAATTTACGCCAGAAAATGCCTGAGCACATTGGAGGATATTGAGAAGCTACAAGCCAAAGTGGCAGACGCACTTCAGAGCAAAGCACTCCTAGGTGGACCACGGGGCCCCGAGTTTTATGCCACCCTTGAATTTCAGCGAGACAGTCTATTCAAACAGCATGAAGCACTGGCTTGTATTCTCGCGTATTTGTTCCAAGGAGACTATACCAACCAGGAAGATCTGCGAAAGCTCCACGGTGTTCTGCCTCGCTGGAATCGCCTCGATTTTAATCTCGTCCACTACCTGCCCGCATTTTCCGCAGCATTTCGGCAAAACGGCTCTCCCGGGAGCCACCTTTCTCAAGAGAGCACTGCTTCCCTCGACTCTGTATTTGGCTCACTGCCACAAGATGCTTCCTCGGCGCCCATCAGGCCATTCCAGGCGGTGTTAAGTCTCTGGTGGACTGTTGAATATAGCGGGCAATTCCGCGACCTGTCCGACCAGGACGCTGGTTCCGACAAACGAGCGAATGCAGTCAAGGCAGCATTGAAGGAGGATGCCTTGGAATTTATGCTTGCAATATGTACAAGCACCAACTCAGACGTCTGGCGACATCCTGCCCGGCAGGAGCTGGTGGCTCTGCTTCTCAGCGACACTTCAGGTTTTGCGCTTGAAGGCGAGCAGACGTCATCCTATTTTCGGTTGCAATTCATGCAATCCCTGGAGAATTTCACAGAGGCATTCATTTCGAATATGCCGGACTCAATACGAAAACTCAGGACCGAAGAAGACGACCAGAGGTTGAATCAGTTGATAGCGATGCAAGAAGGCTTACCTCCTGCTAATCAAGGTACAAGCGTGAGCAAGCTCCACCTGGAATGCTTTCTCATTCTCATCTCGTTCGCCTTCGAAGGCAGACCTGAGGCTGCAGAGCAATGGTGGGAAGACCCCGACAGTAACTTGTATGGCTTCCTACAGTGGGCATCCCGACGACAAACTGTACCGAGGGTGAGCGCTTTCTGCGAACTCTTATGCTCGATTTCAGAAGAGCAGGAGTGTGCGGAAGCTGCCCACAAGTTCTTGCTGGACGACTCACAGCCTGCGCCCACACGCGGTAGACGCAATCCGTCCATGAACTATCAACAGATCTTTGCCGAGTTGGAACTTTATGCACAGAAAGTCCATGAACGTCCTATCACATCCCAACTGCCTAATGTGCGAAAGATTCAGGCCACCGATATGAACGAGCTGGAGAGCCCTGTCATGCTGTCCTGTTATCTGCGCTTACTCGCTCATCTCAGTCGACAGCCCGGTGGTACGCGTCAGTACATTCTACAAACCGTCACCCCCGCCTTCCCGCAGGCTCTCCTACTTCTCAGTTCCGGTCCGGTCCCGAGTTACCTAAGAGCAAGTGTGTTCGCAGCACTAGACGCGCTGCTGACTGACAAAACTGCTCAAACGGCGGCCGCACTGTGGCAGATCGTGGACGACTGGGCCGCAAACAGCCATGACAGAGCCCGACCAAGCGCTAGCAAAACGATAGCGCCCCCCAAGCCAACTCTACTCAACCTACAGAGCACCCTCAATTCACTAGCGATGTCGTTTGATCAGTATGACGCATTTGTCGTATTCCTCCGGGATCTAGTCGCTTCGTTACCTTCCACAGGGCTCGGGACTGATTTGCTTCCATTCCCCAAAGACCTTGGAGCATCATACCGAGCCCCCGGAATAACACCCTACATCGACTTTGTATGCGGACAGATCTTTGCCAAGGCTCTCCCGGAAGTTACTGATGAGCTCCAACGATCAATCGGCTGCTTTCATTGTCTCGAGTTCGTGGCGGTAGGCCTCGAGGGATTCAACGAAGACTACGTGGCGATGCTTGACCGAACGACAACCCCCAATGATGCTCTTCAAGAAATGCCCGAGGCGGCATCGTATGCTCAACGCAGTCCGTTTGCGAGATTAATGCAGTGGATCCTTGGCAGCGAGATGAACAAGCCATTAATGGAAACTCTGCGCGTGCCTGGAGAAGCTGTAGAAGCGGCTCTCCTGGACTCACCTTTGCTTCTCAGTCTACAACGTTCAATCGACATCATTAACCGGGTGCTTGACCTGCAGCCCACCTTTTTTGACATAGTGCGACCACTGGTCCAGTCTCACTCAGCACACGACGGCCCACTTGCTCGTCCCAATCTGAACAGCCTAGAAGACAGTCTGGCTGCCAACCCGGAGATTGTGCTCAGACTTTGCCAATTTTCTGCTACTGGGCACTCGGAGCTCGCCCTTCGCGCTCTGGCTCTGCTGCAGAAGATTTCCAGCTCTCCAAAGCTCAACAACCATTTCCTGGCTAGCGATCCGACCCTCGGGCGAACGCGGAGAATTGTGGACATGTTGGGCCCTGATCCAGCCTTTGAACTCGAGCCAGTAGCAAGAAATCTGTCTGCAAGGCTGCAATTCGAGGTCCGGGAGCTCGAGGAAGGGTTTGAGTCGGTCAGCTACCTCCTCAAAGACGGAATTCTGGCGTTCTTCAACGCGTGCCTCGAAACGCAGCCCGACCTTCCAAACATCGCGCACCTGCTGATAGGCTTCGCGAGACTGGGCGAACGTTTGACCATTTCTGACTCGATCGATGCAGCGACAGCTGTTTTCAACACCATTGTCGATTTGGCACAAAATTATCCCGATGATGAGGGTGGGATCATGTCATCCTGGTTGATACACATGAAAGCAGCCGCTCTGCGTGTGCTGAGACATCTCTGGTCGTCTCCGATATCAAGAACAATTGTTGTTGGGCAACTACGCCGGTTTCAATTCTTACAATCTTTGTACATCAGTCTACCCGTCGTCAACCAACAAACTCTTTGGGACGGCAACAGTGTGATTGCCCCGGCTTTCTGGTATACGACATCAGCAGAAGCTCTGGCCGAGTTTCTCACGTTTCGGGCGTCTCTGTACAATTACACTGTTAGTGAAATACGATCAGCGGCGAAAGATGGGCTGACGACAGCTCTACGACAGACCTTGTCAACTCTACAAGGCAAGACTACGAACATTGACGGCAGTATAATCACTAATCCTGATGTATTTGCCCTTTTTGACTTCCTCGAGCTCGATCTGGCCACCAATCTGGAGTTGGACCCTCAATTCTATGTAGGAGTTGACTTCGAGGTCTATTTGACAGACGTCGCAGAGGGTCAGTCCAGCGTCTACGATATCAAGATGATCCGCGAGTATCTCCATGCTTACCGAGCCGACATCATCAAGAATCAAGCCACAGCTCCCGGCAGTAGTAAAATCGACGAGCAATTTCTGATTGACGAAGCCGATACCATACTGGCCACAATCGAAGCTCGAAACAGGTCTATCCTTGCCCATAAAGCCAGAAGCGACGCGCTACACGAGTACATTGAAATGCTCATCGCTATTATTGAAGCTTGTCCCATGGAGCCGACGACCAAAGCGCAATTTATCTTACAAATGCTCCAGGCCATGCTGCCGAAGCTCGATGTTTTCATCGTCGATGGCAGGGCTGATGTTTGGGAACTGGCTCGAGCTGCTGACGCCTTGCTCTTCTCCCTCTCCCAAACAGACCTTTCAAATGCCCACATGAATAATCTCATCACAGAGAAGTTGTTCCAGCTCTTCCGCGCCTCAGTCGAAGGCATCGCAGCATCTAGCTCCAACTCCAATTTGAGGACGGTATTCTACAGCATTTGCTCACAGTACTTGAGTCGCATCATGTCTTCGACTGGGGGCGCCTCGGATGCCGACGCCAAAGCTAGACGTAACAGTATGGACTGTGTGCGATCAGCGAGTCAACGCGTCGTGCAAATCCTGTGTGATGATGCAGAAGATGGAGTGGACGCCTGCAGGCTGAATGCTTTGAATCTTTTGTCGTTCCTTACTTCCCTGGCACGCTCAGAGAAGTCCAGCTTCGTGCTCAATTCATTCGTCAATGCCAATGTGCTCCAGATCCTTGTCGATCCCCTGAAGCACGTGGCGGCAGAGTTTCAGAGCTCGGAACCAGTTTGTACGTCTCCTAACCTAGCTTCGGCGAGATCATTATTTCATTGCTAACGTACCCGACCTGCAGATCGCCGCTATCTTCTCTCCGTCTTCGAAGCGCGCATGTTTCTCCTTCTGCAACTCTCACGCACCCGGGACGGCGCAGGAGCTCTCCTCGACGCAGGCCTCATGTCTGCCGTTCGCGACTCCAGCCTTTTCCGAGCGGATCCCGATCTCGGCATCTCGATTCCTTCTACTTCTGGCGACGCGCCCGAATCCAACAACCATGCTGCCGACTCCGCTCTATCCGCCCTCCGAACGTACTATGTCCTCCTAACATCGACCCTCCGCGTCCTTCTTTCCGCTTTCCTCTCCAGAGGTGCTCAAAACGAGCAAATCCAATATCTCGCCCGGACTTTTCTGACGGAATATCGACCGAACATGGTGGGTGTGTTCAAAAAGCACGCAGGTGTAAGTGGCAAAGTGGAGCTGGTACTGAGGCCATTGGTGGAGGAATGTGTGCGGTGTTATACCGGCCTTGCAGCATTATCTGGCTTTGTGGATTTTGAAGATCAGGCAGGACTAGATCCTGGACGAGACGCCGGATTCTCGTAAATGTACCAACATGTGTCCACGGCGAGGACTAGGAGATCAGGAGACTAGGACATAGTGTGCAAACAAAGGTGATGAAGATATGAGCAATTCGTTCAAGTGCTGAGAGGGAATCTGGTTCATTTGACAAGGATTCATGACTGATGGATTGATTGATATCATGTTCCCCTGCCGCGTACCACTTGTAAAGTTTTCCCCCGTGACCGTGGTGCTGTTCGTTTTGTATGTTCGTCGTTTCTTTACGCTGGGGTTTCCCACCTCCCTCCCAGTGGATCTCGGGGTAGATATGGTCCCAGGCGCGCGGACTACGCGAGAAAAGTGACCATGAAAATGTGTTCAATTTTTTCTTTATTTTTTCTTGAGACAAAAGAAGAAGAAAAAGGACTCTCTAACAAAAACAAGACAGGGCCTGGCTGGCCATTTAGAAATGGCGACCGACAGGCAGAAAACACGCCGCCATATTCACACCCTGCACAACCCAGCACAGCCCCCAGCACGCCCCGGCCCCAACCCCAGTCCCAACGTAAACACATGTTCATTCGAAGGAAGAAAAAGAAAAAAAAAAAGAACAAAGACAGACAAGAAACCCGTTGACGTCTAGAGGACGCCGACCCGATCGTCCTTGCGAACGGTCGGGCCGGGACCGTCCAGCGCGGCAACAAGCGACGCAGGCGCCGGCATGTTGGCCACGACGGCCTCGAACCCCCCAAACATGTCCTCCTCTGACTCGACGCTGATGTCGCGCCGGTGAAACATCCCGTCCCCGTACTGGGGCACGCGGATGGCAAAGGGGCCCCGAGCCGCCCTTCGCGCGCAGCCCACCGCCTTGCGCTCGGTGATCTTGGCCGAGGTCTTCAGTTGAAGGCCTCGGACGGCCGCGAGGGCGGACTCGGGTGCCCGCAGCATCCTCAACACCTGGGGGAGGGCGTAGAGGTGCTTGACGACGATGTCGTCGGGGAGGCAGAAGGCGTGGACGGCCACGTCGACCAGGATGGTCGACCAGACCTCCATGCACGAGTCGCGCAGGTAAAACGACTCTTCGCAGGTGGTTGAGAATCGGACTGTGTGCATGTTGGCCAGTACGAGGTGATACTGGGCGCGGCAGTCGTAGAGGAACTCGACCACAGGGCGCAGACCGCGGGCTCTCCACTCGTTGCTGAAGCGCATGACAATTTCCGGGTTGAGACGCGCAGCGTTGGCCTCGTGGACCAGGAAGTTGTTGGTGGCGGTGACCAGGAGGAGTTCCATGTCTCCCAGAACGCGGGCTTGGGTCGCGGGATCGAGAGACACGAGAGTGCGAGGCGCAATGGCTGCGGCACTTTCCTTCATCCACTCTTCCACTTTATCTGCCTCGGTAGGTGGTTGTGACTGTCCAACTTAGTTAGCCTGGCTCAAAAGTCCCTGTTTGAATGTGGTCCAACACTTACCACAAAGGGATGTTTCAAGAAGTCTCCAAATCTCTGCAGGCTGGACTTGCGTTTTTGCTTCTCCGATCCTAGAACTCGTGTGGGTGTACCATAATTCACCTCCTCACAGTCACTGCCCTTGTTGATCAGGTTCTTGATTGGGGTCAATAGGCGTGACTTGGACGTCTGGCGCTGAGGTCGCTCGGGTGGAGGTGGAGGCAAACAGAAGTTGGGAAACTGTTGGCGGATGGAGAAGGAAATGTCTTCAGGGACGGTGGGTGGAAAGCCACGAAGATGATCTGGTATTTGTCCACGGACGGCAAAGAGAGGTTCGGGTGCAGAGACAGCAGGAAGAGTGACAGGAGTTTCAGTGGATGGATTGTCCACAAATGGATTCATATTAGCAATGCTAGAGTACGTGATCGCCCTTTTCTCAACTATCAGTTTGTTTCCATTGCCACCGCCTAGCTTTGGGAAGACACCTTACGAGAGTGGTGGTTGTTCTATCTTTTGAGGCTCAGCTGCGTGTGCGCCAAACTTGTCTTGGTGTTCGCGGACGGGAGAGAGCTGATGTTTGACAGGCACATCTTTTCGCTTGATACGATGAGCAGTCGGAGCTTGACAGTCTGGCTTGAAATCCGCAGAGGCAACAGTGTTCTTGGAGTTTGCAAGTTCTGGTTGGCGGAAATGTGTCAGGCTCGCGTGAGTTGAGAGAGACTGAACAATTTCGCCAGGACTCAGCGGCAGAGGCTTGTTGTAGTCCATGATGGCGCTTGATGCGAATGGTGTGAGGTCAATGGTTCCGTCAAGTCCAAATGGGGATGGTTGTTGCTCTTGCTCAACTGGTGAGTGGGTGCTGATGATGGTGTGGTTGTTGGGGGACGCGAGCGAATTTGGGACGGCGGGTTGAATTTGAATCGCAATGCTATCAGCTCTGGGTTGTTTTGCTTGGCTAGAACCCGACTCAGACCGAAAGAAGTTTCGCATGATTTCCATCCAACTGTTGCGTGAAGACTCGCGTTTCTGCCAGACCGGTGTAAGGCTGCGTCGTACAATCGATTTCTTCCTCTCCTCCACCACGGCCTCTTCATCCCCAGGAAGATTGATCTGTGACGAGTGCCGCTTGCGAACCTTTGGGAGCCATATTGCCCCGTCCAGAACTCTGGCTTGCCGGTTAGCAGCGCGTGTCCTCTTGCTCGGCTCGGAGCTGTCACCAAGGGGGCGTCGGGCAAAATGTTTGAGACTGTCTGAAAGTTTGCGCTGTCTCTCTACTGACTTGTGATGCTCCGCAGGCTCTTGTCTATCGCATTTGCTCGACTCTTTAGCCGGCCCGATGTTACCAGCAGTCACAGGGCTGGGAGGATCTGACAAGTCGCGACTTCCAGGGGTCTCACAAAAACCAACATAAGTTGGGCTCGACAGCACAAGCGACTGTGGCGAGCTTCCTTCCTGGACATTGTGTTCCTTGCTCGAAGACGTATCTTGTGTGGAGCCAATCTGTCGAAGAGTGACGATTTCGCCGTGCCCGCCTCTCAGGTTAGGTGTTTGATCCAAGAATGACTGATGGGAAGAGAGCATCTCGAAAGAGACCAAGAGGGCTGGATCGACGTCTGCATCAAGAACAGACGGATCTACTTCAACGAATTCTTGCTGCGAAGAGCCACTTGCTGATGCTTCGGTGACGTTCGATCCTCTAGCAGTGCTTGGCTTTTTCAACGTCACTTGCTCAGGGGTTGGTGACGGCTCCTGCTCTGATGCCAACAAAGTTCTGGTTCTCTGATGGGAATATGTGGTGGAGGGGAGTCGGTACGAGTTCTCTTCATCTGAGGCCTCGGCTTTGGTGAAGGAATGACTCTGAGGATAATCGACTCTTCTGCTCTCATTGTGAGAGATCTCTACCAGCGCACTTCTTTTTCCAGTCTCTTCCGCTTCCCGAGCTCGTTCTACTCTTTGGGCTTTCTCGGATCTGAAGATGAAATTCTGTGCCTTGAGTTTGCGAATGTGGAGCTGGGTGGGTTGCTGCAGGACAAAGCTTCCAACTTTCGGAATAAAGGGATTGAGGGCGTCATCCTGTGAATGGTGTCAATGTCATTTTCCCTGGTCTAAGGCTGAGGGACTTACATTTCGGTGTCTCCAACTGTGACGCCACGAGCGCCAAACGTCTCCGTCATCTCCTAAGCCGGTTGCGGTTTGTTCATCTTCGAGGAGATCTTGCAGTACACTTGTGACATCAGGGAGACCTGCGTATCCATATCGCTCGAGGATCAGGCTGTACACCTCTTCCATGCCGAAGGAGAAAGGATAGACAGGCACAACGCGCTCACCAACTTCTCGAAGGAAGAAGCGGCATTCTTCTTCGTCGAAGCAACCAAGGTCTTCGATTCTGTTCAAGTTGTTGAGCAACGGTGAGGGGACTGTGGCCGTCAGGATGCGACGACGCGCGATGTCCATGATGGCGGATTCAAAGAACGCAAAAACGAGTGCGCAGAAAAGAAAAAGAGAGCAAGCACAGTAACGTGTTAGGACATGATGCGGACAATACAGGGAGTCTCGACACGATGACAACAAGGAGATGATTGCGCCGACGGAGGCAGGAGAGAAACGAGTGAAGCCTCACCTAGCCTCCAGAGATGGGTGAAATGAGTGTTTTGGATGAGATGCAGAGGGAGCAATGAGTTGAATTCGTCTGAATGATATCTCGCTGCCGGTGCGGTCACAGTCTCGTGCCAAGTGTCTCCGGAAGAATGTTTTTGCGTCCCGGTTCCGAAGGCAACGACAAGACCATGAGCAAGTCATCAACAGGCACGTGTTGCAAGAGAAGATGACCGTCTCTTCATTGTCCAGTCCAGATGCTTGGTATTGTCAAAGGCAAACTGCTCACTCACAGAGTCTTCACTCAATTCAATTCATGCTGAATACCCGTTCCCTTTCAGCTCGGAGGACTTCACCGTGTCACATATCCCACATTGACCGGTATTGAGCTTGTCTCATTATTCATATCTTCAGTTCACCTGATTTTCACAACGAAGCTCCTCCATTCAGGATCCAGCATGACTGGTCACTCACTGCACGGTACAGTGCTTACCCCGTATAGCAACGTCATACTGCCCGACAAAGACATACTCTGCGAGTCTGTCATTCTCAACCAGACATTCAGACCCGTCACCCCATTATGCTGTTGCTTCAGTGGGTGAGCAAACATGTCGTGAAAAGGGAGGAGCTGACATCTGGCTGAAGTCGAAAGAAGACTGCTCTGAGCCAAGGCGCTAAGTCCAGGTCACATGTCTCCCCACCTTCCACCCCCTTGAAAGGGGCAGCCTCACGTGATAAGTGAGATTGCCGATATTCATATCCGAATCTGCGGGGGACTACCGTCCACGGCGCGGTCTCACCTTGATGTTTCCTCCATGACGTTTTCTACTCCCCAAATAACGTTCTCAATGGCCGCCACTTCCTTTTGCCTGGCGCTATACATTGCCTGGGTGGTGACTGATCAAATCAAAAAAATGCCCAAGGAAGCGGATCTGGACCTGCTCGGGATAACACCACAGCTTACCCTTTCAGGTTACTCCATACATTTGCACACCCACCTCCAGTTCTCACAGCTACCTACGGCAACGATTTCGGTGACTGGTTCGGGAACGGTCCTGCTCCTCGCTTCGTCTTGACGCTCACTCTGCCCGGCGCGCCGGGCCTCCAGATATCTGCCATGCCCCAAAGCCGAGCATCACTTCGTTAGAATACAATTTAATAAATTGGCACTCTTCTTCCCATTCATTTGTCTTAAAGTCAACAACCTCGTCCTCATAGTGACAACCCTGACAAAACTCTACAGTACCTTGTTTGTCTACCTCTGTGTATCTTGACTGCACCTCCACTTCTTGTCCATCCAGTTCCCCAACCACATCTCAAAATGCCGGCAGAGATACCCTTGTATGATATTGTGATCATAGGTGCTGGTCCAGTGGGTTTACTGCTTTCGGTATCACTGTCACGATGGGGTTACAAAGTCAGACACATCGACAACCGACCAGTTCCAACAGCAACCGGACGAGCCGATGGTATCCAACCGCGGTCGCTTGAGATTCTCCAAAATATGGGACTGAAACGAAAGATCATGGCTCATGACCCCGCGCGAGTTTTTGAGGTGGCATTCTGGGACCCATCACCAGGTGGGAAGATCGTGCGCACGGGTACTTGGGCCAGCTGTCCAGAATTCCTAGACGCCCGGTATCCCTTCACAGCGCTTCTTCATCAAGGATTGATCGAGCGGGTTCTCATTGAAGATGTTGAGAAGAACGGCACCAAGGTTCAAAGACCGTGGACGATCACTCGGTTCGAGACCAACCAAAAGAACCCAGAATATCCAGTCGAGGTAGACCTGAAGAACCTTGACAGCAACGTTACCGAGACCGTCCGAGCGAAATATCTCTTCAGCGGCGAAGGTGCGAGAAGTTTTGTTCGTGAGCAGCTGGGTGTACAGATCCGACACAAGGACCCAATCTCCCATGTTTGGGGTGTTATGGATGGCGTTGTCCGGACTAACTTCCCCGACATCAAGATGAAATGCACGATTCACTCGGACCATGGCAGTGTCATGGTGATTCCGCGCGAAAACAACATGGTCAGACTCTACATCCAGATTGCCAGCTCCACAGATCCCGACTTCTCTCCTCGGAAGACAGCCACTGTGGAGCAAGTACAGGCTGCTGCTAAACGAATCTTCCAGCCTTATTACTGCGAATGGGACCGTGTCGAGTGGTACTCTGTCTACCCGATCGGTCAAGGAATCGCCGACAAGTACACTTTGGATCACCGCGTCTTCATGGGAGGCGACGTGTGCCACACACACTCCCCCAAGGCTGGGCAGGGTATGAACACGGCCTTCCACGATGCCATCAACTTTGCATGGAAGGTGCACTTGGTAGAATCCGGCTTCGCTTCACGAGACATCCTGGCTACCTACGAAGTCGAGCGACGCTTCATTGCTGAGACACTCCTTAACTTTGACAACAAATACGCCGCACTCTTCTCGGCACGACAGCCCACCGCCTCAGAAGTAGACGACGCTCACAAACATGGCCAAGGTGAACACAAGAACGAATTCGTTGAGATGTTTAAAGCCAACTGCGAATTCACTGCCGGATTTGGTGTTGCTTACAACCCAAACATCTTCAACCACTCCACCGAGCATCCCTTCCAGCACCCCCTTATCATCACCGACAGCCAAAAGCTGCGTCCCGGTCGGATCATGCCACCGTCCAACGTGACTCGTGTCGTCGACGCCAACGTCGTTCATCTCGAGAACGAAATCCCGTTCAACGGGTCTTTCCGCCTGTTCATCTACGCTGGGCTGTCGCAGTCGCCCAAGAAGGGCGCACACAAGGCTTTGGCCGACTTCGCTGAGAACCTAAGTGCAAAGGACTCATTCTACTCGAAATTTGGAAGCGAGGACCGCCGAAAAGACAACCACCACGACATGGACAATCCGCACTCTCGATTCTTCTCGCTCGCCCTGGTCATCGCCGCTAGGAGACCGGAAATCGAGATCTCCGACCTTCCCGCCCTGTTCCGAGACTACTCTGGCCGGGTCTATGCCGACGACCGCAAGGACATCAAGGTCCTGGACGCCAAAGCTGCAGCTCACGCCAAGGTCGGGTTGACTGGCGACGAAGGTGCCGTCGTGGTCGTGAGACCCGATGGACACGTCGGCATTGCCGTGCGCCTAACCGAGGGCCCCGGCACCGTGGAGGCCTTGGAGGGATACTTCAAGGGCTTCACAGTCCGGACAGGCCTGGGCGGTGGTGCTGACAGGTTGAGATCGCAGCTGTGAACAACAGTGCAAAAAAGACATGCTAATGGAACAGGAATACGTCCTATATTATTACGTCCTCATGAGGTTATCTTCCCAGAAATAGGCTCGGGGTTTTCTGTACGGTTCAGCTCATTAGTCCAGGTTGTTTTGTCTCGCGTGGTGGCGCTGCTTAGGTCAAGAAAGGGGTTTGCTTTGTTCTTGCTATGAAACATCAGCTTTTTAATGTAGCGATAAGTTGTCAAAAATGGAATTGCATATTTAATTTCCAGAATTCTTTTCTCGGGGCTTTAGTGCGTTCCATCTCTGCATTTCTCCGTGCCTCACACCTTCCTCGTCCATGAATCTGCGAATCCAAACATACCTGCCTACAGTATTTATATCCATACATAAATACATTCATACACACATAACCGCCTAACGTATGTAGATACGTAGGGTGTGCCCTCCCCGTCCGTCGAGCCAGGCCTGGCGCCGATGGAGCCCTCGCTCAGTCCTCGCCCTTCAACCGGCCCTCGATGTCCTGCAAGTCCTCGGCGTCGGCAATCTCCAGCACGCGGTTCACCTCGGCGGTCGAGCGCATCAACTCGACCGCCCCGGCGTAGCTCATCCGCATGTTGGGGTTGCAGTTCACGGGCAGGTAGTACAGGAGGACGTAGGGGACGGATTGGCGTCCGGAAGCCTGAGCGGTGGGGGAGGTAGTAGTTGTCAGCGTAGTCCGTGATTCTTGAGATATCCGCCAAGCGAAGCGGGAGAGAGCAGGGTGGACGTACCAAAGTCAGCGGATAGCTCAAGAGGACGAACCGCGGAGACGAGTCTGGGAGTTCGTCGGCCAGTTCGAGCAGGTCGCTGTATGTGTCATCGGAGGAGGGTTTGATTTCTTGGGTTTTGGTGTCGATCTGATCTATATGATTTTGCAACGACGAGGCGCAGTTAGCCTCTGATTCTCGGACCGCCTGACGAGGGCCCACGTAGAACACTCTGATCAATCCAAGCCTCGCAAGGCCACGTTGGTGTGAGATCAGCTGCTATTGACCGTGATGGTCCCATAGAGCGTGTTCCTTTGATGCGGCCTCTCAACTCCTCAGGGCCATACATTTCCCTTCTGAAATAGCAGTCTCAAAGTGGTCGACGGATATCAAGAGCACATCCGGTTCAAGACAACTCACAAATCTTAGCCAAGGGCGTCTTCGCCCTGGACGTGCCTAGCCGGAACTTGCGCAGCTGATCCTTGGTCTCTTGCGAGAAGGTGTAGAGCCTCGACTCTGACTGGTTGGGTCAGTGGGGAAACAAGAGAACTACAGCGTAGGTGTTGCTTGTAGGATAGAGGGGCAAAGTGTTCATGTTCAAGAACATAACCCTGAAATGGGAATGAGGAGCAATACCATGTTTGTTTCAATGGGGTCCTCTCGGATTCTATCACAACCTGCGTGACTAGGTCTCTCGTCTATCCCGTGTGATCCGACTTGTTCGTCACCGAGAGTGATTCCGACAACAGCGATGTTGTGCTCTTGGGCGCTAGCTGTATGAAGGCTCAGCCTTGTGTGGCTTTTGATCTTCCAAGTAGCAAGTAGTGGGGTGTCTCAAATAGTAGGAGTTGACACGAGAGTCCGCGGTGGATTGCGGTTCAATGTTGAGGATTTTCTTAGTCGGAGACGCGCTTCACTTGGTGCAAGTCCAGCGTCGCGAGATGGTTTCGTGGAAATGGGATGCCAGCGTTTGGAGTAATGGAGATGTTGGACGGGCTGGCTGGCCGGTGGTCGGTTGATGGTGGGGCACATTCATCCTTCTGCCTTCTGTCGGCTTATGTATCAACCTGCGCCCTGCATTTCTGTCGGCATCACTCTTCTCAATGCAAAACTATCGTTGAAATACAACGATCTTTCCCACTGCACCCATTACCCCTCGCTCGCTCCCCATCGTCCACGGCGATCAATGTTCTCTCGCCTCTCTCTAATTGCTAGACACCTTATACGACCTTTGCCGAACTACGCGCACCGTTCTGCCGCCGCCTTGTCCTCGTCCTCGATTTCGAAGATGACACCATCTAACGTCAACTCCAGCTCTGCGTCCAAAGATGGAACGATACATACGGCAGGATGTATAGTTATAGGAGATGAGGTGCTAGGTGGGAAGGTCAGAACACTCATCCGCAACGGTGGCTTGGGATAACGCAGAACTGACGCCTGTGCGCGAATGTTGTTAGACTGTCGACACTAACTCCGCATATTTTGCCCGCTTCTGCTTTTCCCTGGGGATGCAATTGAAGAGAATCGAGGTTATTGCAGACGATGAGGCCGAGATAATAGAGGCTGCTAGGCGCATGTCTAAGAACTATGATTTCGTGGTAACGAGTGGTGGGATCGGGCCCACGTATGTCTCTCCTAGCACTCTATCCTGGGCCGGTTGCGCATTCACTGACAAACTGAAGCCACGACGATATAACGTACAAGTCAATAGCCAAAGCATTTGGGCTTGAGCTCAAGTTGCACGAGCCCACCATGGCCAAGATGAGGAAATACTCTCGACCTCACAAATCACAGCCAGATTTCGACTGGGATAAACCTTCACCAGCCTTGACCGCGAAAATGCGCATGGCCCAACTCCCAACGGACCCTAATATCCCCGATGAGGAGCAGGTCTTGTTTGTTAAGGAGGATCTCTGGGTCCCAATCTCGGTGGTGAACGGTAACATCCACATCCTACCTGGTGTGCCGAGGATATTCGAGACGCTGCTGGACGGGATGAAGCCTCGCATTCTTCCTCGTCTGAAAGATCCCGAAGGCAAGGGAATGTATCGAATGCTCTTTAGCACTCCATTAGCGGAGAGCCAGGTCGCACATTACCTTACTGAATTGGCTGCCAAGGTCGAGCCCAAGGGCATCAAGGTGGGAAGTTATCCTCGATGGGGCAAGAATAGAAATGTGGTGACGTTGGTGGGCAGTGATCGAGAATACATGGACACGTTAGAGGCGGAAGTGGCTGCGGGTGTCAGGGGCATGAGGATCGGAGTAGAGGGTGAAGATGATACCGACGATGAGACGGACGTGAGAAAGGATAAAGATGCATGACGCTGTTCTAGAACTCTAAAGATCATCTTGTGTGTCGTCTTTCTAAAGACACCCTTCAAGATGGTGGTTTCTTTTCCGTTCAACGAACTACCTAATCTCGATCCGGATCCTGTAAGCGAGGTCGTTGCATGTGTCGCAGGCGATCTCATGCAAAATATTGCCTGGGTCGCCAGGATGCTACGCAAATCGGATAGAAGACGTGGGGAGATTTTCGTCAGAGGTCGTCTCTATTGCATACTTGGGAATATCAAGCAGCTAGCTTGCGAATGAAGTGAGGATGTGCCACACATGGGAACCACGTGGACCGAAGACTCGCGGTCAATGCATCAAATAATAGCGTCGTGGTTGCTTGTGCCATGTTCATGTATCGATCGCTCAAGCAGGAACAGACTTCAAATTTGGGCAATTTTCCAGAATGTCACCCTGACTAAGTGGGATATCTGAAAGGGGGTTGACGATCGGCGAGCTGACACCCATCTTCCTCCACAGCTCTTGTACCTGTCATCGTGTTCGGGCCTGCTGGGGTAGGAGGAAGATCAAATCGATGCCACTTCTGCTCGTATTTCCGACGGTGTGGGTAACGACTGGTCGTGTTTGTCCTTTCACGGAATCCTCTTGCCCTCAAGAGCCAAGACGGACTGGTCTGTGGGTTGGTTTGCTCGCTTCTGCCAGGGGCTGGGTGGGAATAACAAGCAGAGGCGGCCATGACGCTTGTGCTTGAACTCGTAGGTCAAAACGGTGACTTTTGCCTATGTACCGAGTACTCGTACTTGGCCATGTCGCTATAGAGCCTGTCCAACAGAGGAGGCAGTGGCAACGCGGTATAACCGTTATCTCATGTTTGCTTCTTGCCCCTGCCCGGCCTGTAGGTAAGGACTCGGTAGTGCGTAGCATGATGTCCCGAACGCATGGAAGCCACAACGTAAGAGGAGGAAGGTTTCTGGGACGTTGACCAGGGATAGAAGCGCGGTGCTAGGGGAAGGCAAGTTCGAGACGGCGTGTGAACGGGTGTGATGGGTGGAGGAGCCGCCGAATCAACGGCTGGTCGAGGCATCAAGTGCAAGTTTTGGCTGGAACTGGGCGGGCGGGTATTCAGCGGTTACCGCCCACCCGGTTTTCTTGGGGAGCCGTGGTTGGGTCAAGGCCACCAGAGGAAAGGGATGCATTTTCTAGCACTAACATGGGCACCGCGCTAGGGGCCATGGTTCATTGCCTTGTCGGCCGCACTCCACCAACTGGTGGGCGGCAGCTAGGCGAGCGTAGAGGCGTTCGTTTTCGGTAGGGAATAGGGGGCAACGGAGGCTATGAAGAAAAAACCGAGCACAAAAACACAATTGATCGGGACTTGATCACCAAGGAGAGGCGATGAGGTGAATGCAGGCCGTAGGTGTATTCGCAAGGCAACAATGGATGCGTAGAAAGAGAAGACAAGGCCACACCACCCCGAAAGTATAGTAGATCTGGCAAGCAATAGAACCTCCTTCGCAGGTAGGCACCTGATGACCCTACCACCCGATTATGGTCTGTACTTGTAGTTTGGGTGAGTACCGAACAACTGCAAGTATTCACTAGCACCAAGTAACAAGCCCAACCAAGGATGGTGGAGGACGCAAAGGCGTTGCCTGCGATCGAGTTGGCGTCTCCCTCGCCCTCTTCTTGTCTTGGAACAAAGACATTTCTTCTCCCTTTTGCAACGGCCACCTTCCCCAATGTATTGATTCTTTGCGAACCGATAGTCTTGTTGTCGCGAGAACGAGAACGATAAGACCACCGACTAAGTCCGTGTTTGGTCAAACAGAATCTCAACCAACCCCTCTCCTATCGCGCACCCTCACTCTCACACACTCAAGTCTCCTCAGCGGCTGGTGTGATAAAGTGGTTGCAGTGCCTCCCTTCATCCTTCCCACCTGGCCCCCTTGTCGGCTCCTCTCCCTGCGAACCCTTGATCCTGGTCTTAGACTAGAGTCTCAGTCCACATCCACACCACTTCAGGCCAGCCCATTCCCAGAACCTCCCTGGCGTACTACTGCTCTTGACCCAAACTCTCCACTGTTCATTCTGCGAGCACGACTCACCATCGCTGTTTCCGTCAGTTCCTCGACTCTTGCACGACGCTTCTGAACCTTTACCCTACAAACTATCCTCAACCGAGCCTCACAAGCGAACGCGAACCCCTCGAAATATTGCTGAGCTATCGAAACCACCGTCTCTTTTCCTCCTCGCCTCGTCTACAGTCACCTCGCAAGTCGCTGTTACAAAGCGCTTCAACACCTCTGTTTCACTTCAAGCTGCCGAGGACGACCGATCATCCACCTGTCTCTCATTCTCCTCCTCCACCACCACTTTCCGTCGATCCTGATCACTTTGCCCGCGAACGGAACCCGTCCTCGCCTGCGCCCTTGCCCTTTTCGTCGGACGCCCTTTCGCCGAGCGCTCCTGTATCGCAATTTTGCAGTCTGAGCATCACTTTGCCAGGATAACGCCACCCTTGAACGTTTTTGGAATACCTCTCTCTGGGCGAGGCTTTTCATTCCGAGACCCCGAGCTGTGGCTGTAGCTCTCTGTCATGGCTTCAAAGGTGCTTTGACCCCGATTTTCCACATTTCCTCTTCGTATCCTACAGGAGAGAATGTCACAACTAACGCAACCGTTGCAGTTTCTGCGCGAATACAAGCTGGTGGTGGTAGGAGGTGGTGGAGTGGGCAAATCGTGCTTGACTATCCAACTGATCCAAAGCCACTTTGTCGACGAATATGATCCTACAATTGAAGGTTCGCATGAATCACGAAAGTCATCAAACTCTGGAAGTACGCTGACATACGTCTCCAGACTCATATCGCAAGCAATGCATGATAGATGATGAAGTTGCCCTCCTCGATGTTCTGGACACGGCTGGTCAAGAAGAATACTCGGCCATGAGAGAACAATACATGAGGACTGGCGAAGGGTTTTTACTTGTCTATTCGATAACCTCGCGACAGTCGTTCGAAGAAATCATGACTTTCCAACAACAGATTCTCCGAGTCAAGGACAAAGATTACTTTCCCATCATTCTCGTGGGCAACAAGTGTGATCTTGAGTCAGAAAGAGTGGTTTCGAAAGAGGAGGGAGCTCAGTTGGCGAGACAGTTTGGCTGCAAATTCATCGAAACGTCTGCTAAATCTCGAATAAACGTTGACAATGCCTTCTACGACCTCGTTCGAGAAATTCGAAGATATAACCGAGAGATGTCAGGGTATCCCGGTGGCGCGCCTGGGCTTGGATCCCTAGGCCCTGGTCAAAAGATGGAGATGGATAACCACGCAGACAGCGCAGGCTGCTGCAGCCGGTGTGTGGTCATGTAGAGGAACCGGGAAAGCTTGAAGAAGAGGTCACCCATTGGCGGAATACCAACATCTCACATCCCACAAGCGAATGGTTACTGGGGCTCTTTGACCGCGCGGAGTTTAAGAGTGCATATGTCTCTCGTGGAATGGAACTGGACTGACTGGTTTGGCTTGCATTGTTTTTCTTGGGGTGCTCAAAAGTCGTTGAGAATCAAGATTTCTTGAGGCTTGCGCCGCAAAATTGAAAGATTATCTTCTTCTACATATTATTTGGGAGGTTGAAAAGGCAGGTTTTGGCAGTCATGGAGGATGATTCTGCCACGGCGTTTGATTCTTACGGGATGCAAGTCATACACCAGATACAGAGAACAGGCATCCCACTGGGGACGAGACGGATGGGGAGGGAGATTACTGAAGGCAGTCAACTAAGGCCCGCCTTTCTCCCAGAATGAGATCTTCGGTATTGAAACGCAAATGTCGTGGCTTTGAACCTTGACCATTGATGTTTTGTTGGATACCTGCCAACGTAGAGATTGCGCCAGTCATGATATGATAATCTGACTAACTACCGAGTACAGCAGTGGTGGTGGTGGTGGTGGTGGTGGTGATACTTCGACCAGCTCCTCCTGCGCATTGTCCATCCAAAATCCTCCTTGGTTCCTCCTTCGCTAACCTTCCATGGCATTTCCTTGTTAGCATACACTTCCGCTCGTGAAACTTCAACTCCCACATTACAGAGATATCAGCCAGTGACCGACATGGCATCAGAGCCCGGAGTCGTCACTGATGAGCAGCCTGAGGAAGCGTCCAAGCCTAGCGCTCTCGCCACCAAGCGCAATGCCTTTTCAGAACTCATGTCTCCCAAATCCAAGCATGCAAAGTCACAGGATTTCAAGCACACAGGCAAGCTCAGCAACCCAGGCGATCCACGCAACGGCCTCCTCGCGTACATTTTGGAGCCAGCCAAGTTCCCCTCAGATATTGTCATTCTACATAATGACAAAACAGTCCTGGTTCGGGATGCATTCCCAAAAGCAACAGTCCATCTACTTCTTCTACCACGAGACCCAGCGAAACAAACTCTCAATCCGCGGGATGCCTTGGACGACCAGGAATTTCTGGACATGGTGCGGACGGAGGCCTCTGCAGCCGTCAAGCTGGCGGCTTCCGAGTTGTCCAGGTTGATCAGTCCTTACTCGGAAACATGCAAAGCACGTATTGCTGCAATGGAAAGCGAAAACCCTCCAGACAATCTACCGCCTGGACGAGACTTCACCAAGGAATTCAAAGTAGGAATTCATGCGCATCCTTCGATGAATCACCTCCATATCCACATCATCAGCCGCGACATGCATTCGGATCGACTGAAGCACCGGAAGCATTACAACAGCTTCAATACCGACTTCTTCATCCCACTAGAGGATTTCCCGCTCGCACGGGATGATATCAGGCGCCAAACAAGCTATCAGAATGCCAATTTGACAAAGGATTACAAGTGCTGGCGCTGCGGAAAGATGTTTGGGAATAAGTTCACACAGCTCAAAGCTCACCTCGAAGACGAATTCAAAGCGTGGAGAAAGGAATAATCTCGTCAAACACCTTTGTCTGGCAAAATTTGACGGAACCTGCCGAGTGTGCTTAATGCAAAGTTATCTTCTCTGAAGGTGACGGCTTCATCTTGTTTCGGAGCCAGAATATCTGTCTCTGCCACGGTCGCGGCTGTAACTTCTCACCGGCACAATCCGCTCTCGCCGCGCAGGCTCACTGTCACCTACATCCACAAAAATTCTTCCAGGGTGAATGACCTCGGACTCATACCGTGTTTTTGGACTGTGGTTGCTGCGCTGTCTCGTGTTGGTGGTTTCACCTTGCCGAAATCTGCCACTCTCTGAGTGTGCCCGCATAACTTCTCTTTCTTCACGTTGTCGGACAAACTGACTAGCTGTGGTTGGACGTCGACTTGGAGTCAGTAAGCTGCCAGCCCTCGATCTCACATTACGCCTGGGGACGCCTCGAATACCACCGCCACCGCCACCTCGACTATCGCTGGAGCTGCCGTGTGCACTTCTTCCACGACCCCCTCCGCCTCCTAACCTGTTCAAGCAGCGCTTCACTAGTTCGTCGGTCTCAAACACGTCTCTCTCGATCCTGCGAATCTGAATACGTTGAACTTGAGTCAACATGTCTTCGACAGCGGATCTACTTTGCCACCTAGCTGGAGTTAGTCCGGTTCGAAGTGCAGTCGCTAGAACAGAACCCACCAAATGAAACGATGGGCAAGATCGGTTTGATAGTAATGAGGCTGATTTTCGGGAGCAAATCCTGCTTCGGCCAACTCTATTCGACCCCTTGTCTTGGTCTTATCTGGTCTGGCACGGGGTTTCTCTTCGACATCACTTTCACCCCAGTAGTCGCCCCTTTGGACCTGCTCCGCGCGCAATGGATTTCCTATGAGGAATGGCCGTTCGATGTTCTTGAACTGTTGCCATATCTTATCGATTGACGATTGGAGAAGTTGGGCCACTTCTCGCTGCTTTCGCGTTCGTTTGCGCAGCGAAGGAAAGACACCATACTGGTCCCCTTCACGGCATCGGTAGCGCAGGAGAGCTCGTTCTTCTTCGATCTCTTGTCGAAGGTTACCTAACATAAGCGGGATGGCCGTGTCAGCTTTGCGAATTGTTGATATAAGATCTCGATACACTCCTGCAACATGATGAGATTCGTGGCAGAGGCTGTCCTCTCAGATTGATTAACGCACCCAACAAGGTTGCCAGTGTGATGGCAAAGGAGATGAACCCGATGATTTGAGATGCTAGAGCGATGCTCATCCTGACGTTCCGGAGGGTGTCTACCCAAGTATCAAGCTTCCATACAACACATGGATACCTCCTTTACCCTAGAACTTGGATGCAGCAAGCCACAACTGAACTATCCGAACAGCGCCAAATCTAGAGGAGCGTGTATCTGTGCTTCAACGCTTAGATTGGCTGACGGTACATAGTCTGAACCAAACACCAATGGGACGGGAAAGCCAACTCATCCGCACCGGCCGCGCGTGGTCAAATGTGAATCATTAATGTTCCTGTCAATCCTGCTACAGGAGTTCGGCTGATTCGGATCCGGAAAAGTGTTCCAGGCTTACATCAAAAGTTCCAATTCTCCCCCCACAAGGCGGTTGCATCCGGCCACCTTCAGCACCGAACACCAAAAGGGAAGACTGATCTTCTTGTCGAGCCTCAGTATGGAGGGACTGTCGGCACGAGCGAGATGTACAGGGATGATTCTCTATCATCTGCATCGGCAACGGTGATTCGTGGGTCATTTTGCCATGACGGCATTCCTCCACTGATCATCTTGATGTCATGTTCACGAGGCGATACAAGAATAAATCTCCGTCAATACCGTGTATCTGCAAATGCCTCAACAAAATCTACGGCCCTTCAATAAACACTTTTTGCGGTCGAGTGGAACACCATGCCGGACAAGCCACAAGCACCACCAACCGCCTATCCTGCAAGCTCGCTAAAGGCACAAGACCAAGAAGGCAGTAAAGGACTTGATTCGAAGCTCGCGCCAAACGCCAACTGGACACAGCTCGAGTTTTGGGACGATGAGGGGAATGCTCCCTATCTGAGAGATTATGAGGGTCGTGGCCTGCTCAAGGATAAAGCCGTGATTGTGACGGGTGGGGACTCTGGTATTGGACGAGCCGTTGCTGTGCTTATGGCGCGCGAAGGTGCCGACATTACCTTCGTCTATCTTCCAGAAGAAGAGGAAGATGCCCAATGGACAAAGAATCAGATTGAGAAGGCAGGCAGGCAAGCTCAACCACTTACCCTGGATGTCACCTCGGAAGAGAACTGTAAGAAGATTGTCGAGGCACACATGAAGAAATTCGGCAAATTGTCCGTCCTAGTCAACAATTCAGCCATGCAAGAGATCTGCAATGACATTGAAGACATCAATCTCGGGGTTGTGGAGAAGACTTTCCGCACCAATATCTTGAGCATGTTTGCCATGGTCAAATATGCCCTTCCTCATATGAAGCGTGGCTCGAGCATTGTCAATTCAAGCTCGGTTGCGGCATATATGGGCAATCCTCAACTTGTGGACTATAGCTCGACAAAGGGAGCCATCACCACATTCACGAGGAGCCTGGCACAGCAGTTGGCGCCGAAGGGTATCAGGGTCAATGCTGTTGCACCTGGAATCATGTATGTTTATCACAGCTTCCTTCTACAGCACCTCTTTTCCTTCTAAACTCTACGACGTACTGACATTATCTCTACGATGACAGTTGGACGCCGCTTCAGCCTGCTACCAGAGGAAACCCACCTGAAGCAATGTCTGCGCTTGGAGTCGAGGAGGCACCCCTCCAACGGCCGGGAATGCCTGTTGAAATGGCCACGGCATATGTGTTTCTAGCGTCACCTCTGGGGTCATACTTTACGGGTGAAACCATTCACGGTACGGGAGGATTAGAGATGCAGGGTTGACTCCAGAACATATATATCCCAAGAATGTCACATTCAAGACAGACAGATATGGCCACGGCCCGGGAGGTTTTTACTTGCACAAATCTGCTGTCATTGCACCGCATCACGGAAAGCAGAGGGACAAGGGCTGTGCCAACCCAGAGATGAGGCTGTGAGGATGAAGCGAGGCGCTTTGACTGACCCCGACATTCAGCCACAGCGACTCTCTATTTTTTTTGTAAGTGATTGGCACATTCTTGTTTCCTGGTTCGCTTACTGCCTTACACATGTCCGTAGCTCATATCAATTGGGCGATCTTATTCGTGGGACCTATGTAAGGCACTTTTGTTCTTGCCTTCCTTTTCAGCCTTCCCAGGCCATAACAACCTTTGGTCTTCTCTCCTTCAGCCTGACTTGCGGCTTTCTTTTCTTTCTTTTTTTTTTTCCCCTTTGGGTTTACTGAGAACTTCATACTGCGAACTCACTTCGGCCTGGCAGATCGACTTCCCAGATATGAGCTGAAAGACTGAGCATATTGGGAGTGTCTATATTCCCGTGTGCGTATTGGTTGTTCAGCGATGGCCTCATCCCCGCATGAGCACGTCGCTCAACCTTCGATGGAGGCTTCCACAAAACAACAGATTCCGATGGTGGTCAGAGGGGCTATGAATGCGTCCGTCACGGGAGGGACTGGCGGCGATGGGGTGGACGTTGGTAGTTCGATGCATTCGGACGACCGTATTTCTCCACATGAGTACATTCCCACTCTGATCTCCTCCGGGAAAAGCGACGAACATGATCTCCAATACAAGGCACCTCAGAAACACCTCGGTGAGCATCGAAGTATCCGAGAAGACATGTGGATACAACAGCGCAAACGCTACGACGACTCTCAACAGTTCCAAGCAGACTTTAAAGCGAGTCGAATCAATCAAACCATAAAGAGTGACAGTATCCTTGAACGTCAACAACCTCGAAGGGTGCGCTTCGTGTCGGATCAGCCGCAGGTCGGCAATAAAAGTGGCGTTGAAAGCGGTCATTCGTCCAATATTACCATTGCATCGCAGGAAATGGAAATATCGAGAGGAACAAGCGATCTGGCATTCGGAAACGTTTCAATGTTTACGAAAATTGAGACGACAGTCCAAAGGGTCTTCCGATATACCACCGGCCGCGACGTTACTTTGTATATGAACTGGAGGTTTTTCGGATTCCTCCGCGAGCAGTTCGGCGAAGCAGACATCAAGGTCGATTCAGTTGTGACCCTCACTGGTTCGGTTCTGTTTGCGCAGGCAACAACTTGTGGCGATTACATCCGCACAACGTGGCCGCGCAATGCCAGTTTTTTTATTGGATTACTCCAACGTTTCTGGGACTCGCGCAAATCGGATTGGGGTAGGTTGTGCCTTATTTCTCTTTCCACAAGACTTCTGTGTTGTGATCAGTGGTCACTGAGTGACCCAAAGAACACCCTTCCACGGCTCGAGGACTCTAGGTGGTTTTTCTTTGCCTTACTTGATACTTCTTTATCTACAAGCCCTAGACTGACCTCATAATAGGATCACCGTTCATCACTGGGTGTTTTGTTGACGAGCATCTGGAAATCATGTATGAATTGTGGAGGGGGGGCTCAGTGATGATCAAAGCCACTGGGGATGAAGAAACGATACGGGACCTCGTTCAGATGCTTGCCTGGGCCGGAGCAGCATTTGGGTCTTCTTCCGGCGGTGAGAATGTCGACTATTGTCGTCCGGATGTTTTCGGCGGTTTCGACATCGTAATCACATTTCGGAGAGAACTACTGCCCACAAACGTCGAGGTCTGTTGGGTACCACTCTTCTCGGGGGCATCGATCGCATACGGCTTTCCTATACCTCGACGACGGGATGAGATTGGACTCGAGATACCTCTGCAAATCCTCACCGCGCTGTTGGGCGCCGTTCGCGCCGTCGAATTTGAGGGCGGCGTTGTTATCAAGGGTTTTTCCAGCATGATTGTGCCTACTGAGAAGAGGGGTGATATTGTCCAGTGGCACCTTCTAGCTAACACAAACTGTGAGGAGCGTCTCTCGTATCGTGAGGGTCTCCTGCGCTGCCCGAAGCGAGCTTTGATGGACGAAGTCGACCTCGAATGTCTTCAGAAGACGCGTGCGGTGCTTGGTTGGTGCTCTGCCACACGCTGTTCGCTTGGTGGTCATGATGCCAACTACAGCTCCATCGTCTACTCAGGTGCAGAAGAAGCCGGTGGGTCGATCAATTTTACAGGAGGAAGCTTGGGCTTTCAGCAATTTGGCGTGGCACAAATCGACTTCAGACTGGGGCCAAAGGACGGAAAATGCCACTTCCATCGCACTGGCCCTTACCGGAGCATAGTGAGTGCGGCAGAAAAGACCCGAGTTGTCCTCTACGACACATCAGATCAACGAGGATGGCTCGTACCTGCGTCAGAAGTCATCCTACACATGTGTCAACACCGTCACCGGCTCGAGCCGTTTGTGGTCGCCGGTTCATCAGTCCTCTTGCCTTCTCCCGAGATCACAGGACAGTCTGTTAAAGAGGCTAAAGAGGTACTCTTGGAAAATGAGTCGCTTACTCTGACCGAATCGTCGAACGAGAAATACACCTTGAGAGACCTCGTTTTGAACTACTGGTCACTCCTCGAGTTCCTGCTTGACCAGAACGTGAGAAGGGATCAAGCCCACAGATTGAGCATGCACTTGCCCCTACAAGAAGTCCTGCAAGGCTATGAATACAGGTCTGTGGTTGAGGAACGCTCTCCTTTTCGGACAAAGCGGACAACACTAAGAAGGACGTGTGGTGGCTGGCCAGCCCTAGTACGAGACGTTGACGCCCTGGTTCTTTTTGCCAGCGGGTTCGAGGACATATTGCGTCCTCTGGAAAACGACCAGCTTCAAGACATATGCGTCAAGTGGCGTTCTATGCCCCGAGAGATGAGCTATCTTGCTACCACTGTCAAAGTCCTGAGAGACCTTTACGAAGTTGCTGGCAGTCGCTCAACCAGGGAATACCTCACTTCGACTCGCCTGCGATGGCTACAAGGTGACTCGAGTCTATTCGAGCCTTGTACCTCTCCGGGAGCCTCTCATTGTGACTGCGCACGCCTACAGACGATTGTATCAACATCGGCCTTCAATAAGAGACCAATGCCTTCAGGGCCAGCCATTGATGGGTTTGAAGGCGGCGCGGTAATTTTTGGTCGGCCCAGCTCTGCTTCTACAAAACTAAAGCTGAGGTTGGATGCGCTTGAAACGGGTGGGATGAACAGCCAGCTAACTGCGATCTTTGCGCTCTTGGGGACAACCCGTCCGTCTCGAGATCTTGAGCATCGGTGTCAAGGAGAGCCTCTCCCTACTTTAGAGCCTTAGGTTCGTTGACCACCCTTCTGAACAGCGCTTATACTGGAGAGCATGGCCCTGCATTGCAGCCCTTTCTACCCAGGCCGCTTAAGGAACGAGTATCGAGGATGGCAGAGGGTCTCACTGCTTCAGAAGTCTCCCACGCAGCGAAATGATCTCATCTGGTAGACAGCGAGCCGAAGATTCCCTGTACGGCAATTATTCATGTGCAGAAATGGATGTCGTGGCGGCGGATTTGCGGACGGCCCCATAGGAGCTGCACGTATGTATTTGCGTGCACGGTCATATGCTGCTAGTATCGTTTCTTATCGTCTCTGATGGAAGATGCCTCTTCCTCTTTTTCTTCTGGTGGTTATTCTGCCTGGCTGGATGCCTGGAGCTAATACATTTTTGGTAAATACAAGTATACAAATCAGTATTTCGCCATCCCCAAGCGACCCGCCATGCCCACTTAGGTCCCTTGTTGACAAAAGGACACGCCCTGCAGATTACATGTACATGACCAATATGCGTCAGGGGGAGGTAGAGAGTGTGGTAGAGACACAGAACAGGGATTCGGTATTCTTTCTTGTCTTGTTAACAAGATTCGCTCGTTCGAGCCATGCAAAGTATACCGAGTATATATACCACAAGCATAACCCTGAACTCTTGGCCTTTACATTTCTATACATCTTGTACAGATTTTCCTTTGATATTAGGAGAAAATCCACACTCGAAAACCCTTGAGTTTGGAGATCATTGTCGACGACGACTTGCACACACAGAACATGTCTATCTCTATGTCTATGTCTGAGCTTGTACCTGGACCTGAGTCCGGGCGTCTTGCACCAGGGATCCACCTCTTGACTGCCTCGACGCCCAACGCCGCGACCATACTCGACGGGATCGTGCATATCCACGCCTCGTGCATCTTGAATGACGGCACGCTGGCGACGTTTCTGCCTCCACTGTCGCACGCGCAGATCTATCGGTGGTGGGAGGAGCGGTTGAGGGAGGTCGGTCGCGGCGAGAGGCATATTCTCGTTTGTCTGTCGAGCGTCCGGGAGCGTACTGTGACGACTACGAATACGCCCTCGCCGCCGTGGGACGCCGATGGGAGACCGTGGCCTGTCATACTGTCTCCGTCGACAGGGTCTCCTGGAGGGACCAGGATCACTACTACGAGTACGCCCGAGAATCCCACGTCTGCAAACCCGACGAACCCAAACCCGGACCCAGAGCAACAGCAGGAGCAAGAACATCTCGACATCTCCGGTGTCGTCACACTCGCGACGCCCTTCTCGCAAACGGGGCCCTTCCGCGCCCTCGTCGAGAAACTCTTCGTCTCCCCTCTCCACCGCCGCCGCGGCATCGCCACGCGGCTGATGACGCGGCTGGAGCGCGTCGCCGTCGCCCACGGCCGGTGGAACCTCATGCTCGACACCGAGGTCGGGTCCGGCGCCGAGCTTGTCTACCCCAGACTCGGGTACGAGAGGCTCGGCGTCGTGCGGGAGTACGGGTTTTCGCCGCGTGACGGCCGGTTGGTGGATGAGGTGTGGTTCTGGAAGGATCTGAGGGCGGTCAAGGACAAGGAGACGAAGGAGGAGGAGAAGGAGGGGAGGGAGAAAGGGTCGGGATGAGTCGTGGAACAGGGCACGTATTCCTCTCTGTGTTACGTTGAAAGGCGGGAAATGGAGGCAAGAGGTAGAGGTTCAGGTCGATTGGGTTTAAGTCGGTGGAGAATACGGGAGTTGGATATTGCAGGCAATAGAACGAGATCTTGCTGTCACGCACTGACGCTCTTCTCTTGGTGCTCTCTCTGAGCTTCTTGGAGCAGTCTGAGAACTAATATCCCACAGTCCCGGACATGGGGTAGCATGCCATGCTTCTCAAGTGGTTGTCTCAGCCCACCACGGACATGTTCCTCTAGAAGCCAATGACACTGTACCTTAGAGATGCGCCTGAATCAACCTACGAGAAACCTTCAAGTGCTTGAGTGCTTGAGTGCTTGAGTATCAGAGTATCTGGTTCAGTAGCACAGAAAAGTCTCGGGACGAGGCTGTGGCCCAATTAGGCTTAGTGCCTTGGAGGTTCCAAAGTCGTTTCTGCTGCTGCAGCTTCGAATTTCAATGAATGCACCGCATCACCAATTTCTTCTCGCATAGCTTCCACTCCGCGGCTTCGTTTCTTCTCTCCCCCTTTTGCGACTCCGTGCCATCCGCACCTCGAGATGCATACCGTTCCATCGATTCGTGCCCTGCACGCCCTCCGCGCTCTCACGCGCCTCACAGCCTCAGCATCAAAATATACACCAGCGATCCCCCGAGCTGTGTCGTCGCCGCTGCAACTAGCGCTGCGTCCGCACCATCGGACGTTCTCGACGACTCCCTCCCTCTCGGTGACGCTCAACCAGCTCCGGACGCGCCTGGGCTCACGCAAACCCAAGAAACTGCGTCACGCCGTCTCCCCGGCCCTCAGCGCCGCCAAGCGGCCCGCCATGAAGGGCGTGTGTCTCAAGGTCGGCATCACCAAGCCCAAGAAACCCAACTCGGGCCAGCGCAAGACCGCAAAGGTCCGGCTGTCCAGCGGCAGGGTCGTCTCGGCGTATATCCCCGGCGAGGGCCACAATGTGCAGCAGCACAGCGTCGTGCTGGTCAGAGGCGGCAGGAGCCAGGATTGTCCTGGTGTCAGATATCACTTGGTCCGGGGGGCTTTTGATCTGGTGAGTCTTGGTCGTTCGGTCTTCACCTCGTATTGGTGTGTCGCTACCTGGGTGGGAACATTTTCTAATAGTGCTTTATAGGGAGGTGTGCCTACTCGAATGACCAGTCGGTCCAAATACGGTACCAAGAAGCCGAAGACGACATGATAGCGGACTGCGCTTTCTAGGGGTGATCCTTGAGTCTGGGGATCCGGAGTCAGAAGTCGGAGGGGCAGAAGAGCGGATGGGAGTTGGGGACGTAAGGGTCAACGGGGTTCCGTCCTTCTCCCTCTAAAGTGGTTGTGCTCTCAACAAACGTCCACGCTCTGCCAGCCAGTGGAGCCTTGACAAACCGATCATCTCCCTATGCTGGTATTATACACAAATCACATCAGCCGTGCATGGGAAGCCACAGGGTTTCTCTCCAATCCTACACCTACCAACCTTTTGAGGCACACCCGCTGCAGAGATACAGCCTCAACCCGTCTTGGACCACATCTATCAGCACATCCAACAGCGACCGTCCCTTTTATCCACTCTAAGTCAGTATACTGGGACCACCACTGACTGCCTTTTCCTTCGCCATCTCTTTGTCTCTGGGCACGCCGAACTACATACATACAACACACTTGGATGAGACAACTAATCCATTTCGCTTGGACTTGGATTTGTTCAGGCGAGCAACGAGCAGATTCTGCCCTCGCAAGCTACAGCCATCTCATGGACTTTGGGAGCACCTCATCCTCCAAAGTCGTGCGGATATCAGACATTCCCTCCTCCACCCAGCCCACCTGGATAGGCAGGGGATGAAACAGATGGCTCCGTCAAGATATCAATGGAAGGAGAGGAAGGATGGATGGATTATAACCTACAAGGTGCTCGTAGATGTGTACCTAGGTAGGTGGTGTCTTAAGGCAGTCCTCCCTCTCCAAGGGATATAAGGACGTGTATGTATGTATATTCTCAGAATAAAGAAATAAATATTCAAGAGGCGAGAACTATACCTGTAGCTGTAATTGAAACATATCAATAACGTCGTTTATCCCTTTACCGACTATGCCTGGTTGACCCTACATACAATACAGGGCGCTTGCGGCAATGTGCAACGTGCAATGTGCATTCGCGCGTTCAAAATGATTCCTTTCCTCCTAGTGTGGTACAGTGCAATTCCCAAATCCGGTCCCGACTTGACGAGTCGATCACTCCAGCTCTGATCCATCACGATACAATACGAGATGAGACAAGAACCTCGCCTCGGTCTGGAGAGCAACCCCTTTTCGGCTCTGTCCTGCAAATGTGTTCACTCTTGCCAATGTCCAAGTCCCGGATTTCCAGCCCAATCGACCGACCAACGCCCCTCGAATGCAAAAATAAAGGTGACAAGAAGGCAACTTTTCTCTACACAGTCCCAACGTTCCTTTCGTTTGTCTGATAGACAGGACATCCAGTGCTCGTCAGTCTCTCGCGGTGCGCAAGAGCACTCGAATATCTGTCCCGGGGCAAATTTCCAAGAGGGCCAGTCTGACAAGGAGGCGGCCCCGAACGGTGTTTGATGGTGAAGACGTGACCGTGAAAAGTATGGATGCATGCAACGTCGTTCCGGAGTTCGGACGTAATGAGAATGTCCGACGGCCAGGTTGCCTGAGAGCAGCAGCTCACCCAGAGTTCTCCGGCTTCGAAGGCCTGTCAGGCCTCTTGTACCAATTTTCATCTTCGTCACGAGTGAGCCCGCGTTCGTGCCACTCCGCAAGGCGTTCCGCCCATGAAAGCAACTTGCGCCTCGTCCAGGGAATCCTCATCAAAATAATCGTCAAAACCGACCCCACGCTAAACGTTATGGATGCATATTTCAGGATCTCCCATGACAGGGAAACGCCCGAGTCTGACTCGTTCTGCTTGTCGCCGTCACCATTGCCATTTCCATTATTGTTACCTGGGTTTCCAACAGAACCGGCGGCTAGTCATACCTGAGCTTCCCATCCCTCAGGCTTCTTAAGCTTGTTGAGGTCAAAAAACCGAGAAGTACAGCTGTACGGCTTCCAATCGAAATTGTCGGCCGGATTACAGTGGCAGCGGAGTTTCTGGCGCACGTCGTCTCCCGTCGGACAGTGCGTAAAGGGGACGTGATAGTAGGCGATGTCGTTGAAAAAGTGGATCTCGTCCTTCCTCAGAAGTAGACCAGCAGCGATGGAGTGCACCGGAGCGTCGCCCCAACGTTCGTAGAAGAAGCCGCCGTCTTTGTCGAGGGTTTCGAAGAAGTCGAGGTAAGGCTTAGATCGAAGCCAGTCGAGGTTACCAATCTCAAAATTGGACCACTGACAAAGGTTAGAAATGCAAATCCAAAGGGTTTCTGGCAGGACTTACAAAATGGCACTTGTTGTACGTCTCACCTCCGTCGTCACTCAAAAATCCCATTGAGTTGTCTGGGGAGATATGTTCAGGGTGCGCCTTGATGAACTTCTTTGTGCTATCCCATAACGTCGGAATGGTCTCGACATATTCGTACAGACTCAGGACGAAGCTGTACTTCTTCTTGTTCTCCTTCATGTACCGGAAAGGATCATAATGGATGTCGCAGAATAACTCAACGCTGGGCTCGACTCGCCAGTAGTACTCGAATTGCTGGAGCAGTGGATGACGAAAGAAGAAACCTGACTCGAACCGACACATGTGTCGATAACTGACCGAGTCGCCATAGATGATCTTCCTCCGGCGCATGTCTTCCCGGACGGCCTCAGCCTTTTTCTGGTCGATCCATGACGGGAATGACCAATGTTCGACGGGAATCTCGCCGTAGTGTGTCTTGCCCGAAACGAGAGAAGTTGTGACCTTCTTGAAGTTCTCATCGAACGGTTTGTCATTCAGAAAGACCCAGTCATAGTTGTAGTTCCTGTTGAACCGGTCTTCCACTTGTCTAATTGAGCGGGCAATCTCCCAGATATCGGTGTTTCTTGCCAGAGTCACAAACGTCGCATTTACTCGTTCTCCTGGAGCAGAAGATGAGAGTTCTGAGGGAATGGTGGGGACAACATTAGGCGTTGTTGTTTCTACAGATTGTGAAATATCCGCCGCAGGGGTGGTTTCCGGCAGATGAACGAGGTCCTCGGCGCTCGTACTCGGCTTGGACTCTCCGGGACGTTCCCATGAGAAGGCGGTACCCGAAGTCAGCGGCTGTGCATAGGAGGGCAGTGAAGAGGTCGAAATAAAGTAGATGATGGTAATGCCCTGTTCATGTCAAGTCAGTATGAAATGTCTCACACATGGGCTGGCTGGGTTCCGTGTAACTCACGAAAACAGCGAACAGTATATAACGCAGATATCTCCCTGAGCCGGTTGCCATCCTGAATGAGGAGACCAGCAATATTAACAGGAGATGAGGAAGAGACCTGAGGAGCCGGCCGTAGCCGTATACGCAGGATAGACTGGGGTGTTAAGGCTCGAGGGACGATCGGCAGAAACGGTGCGATCAGCACATGAGGCTTATGCGGTGAAGGTAAAACTGAACAGCCCAAACGTTGAAACGAAGATACAAAGTTGAAAGAGGCCTAGAGAAAGAGAAATTTCCTCGATCAGGACTTGGAGGTGTTAAAGGAGTGAGGCAGGTCGAGGAAACATTTCAGTTCGCAATAGGGAGAGCCGCAGGACGACGCGCAAGCCCCGAGACCAACGTGTTGCAGGAAACTTTTCTGTAGTGATAGAAGGGGACGCCTCAATTCCAGTTAGCAAGTCTCGGGCACATGGGGCTGAATACGTGGGCTTCTTTTATGGAAGTTGGCCCCCTGGACGCTGGGATCTGGATGCGTGATTCGAGTAACGGGCATGGTGTTTGTGCCCGCTTAACAGGCTTAACAGGCTAGGTATGGGCAACTTAGGCGGGAAGGGCCCCGGAGGCTGCAACTAGAGGCTAGAGAGGCTTAGCATCAAAGACCTCACCAATCGCCAGCTCGCCCGTTTCGAGACTAGTGTGCGTCACTGATTCCGCTTAGCTGCCACTTGCCCACTCTTCATCACCTGCGGTTTACATCCCACAATCCATCGACAGCGCCATTGTTGGATCGTTGGTCTGCAGACAACTGAGACTCACTTTGTCATCTCCCGCAGGTCATGTCATAGTATCTTTGCCTTTCATCTCCGTCTCCCCTCGAGGATCATGCGAATAGGCACTGCATTTTGGTCACTGTTGAGAAAAGAGGCGGGTTCCAGTGAAGTGAAAATAACAGGACCGCCATCTTGAGCCTGATCAGTTCAAGTTCATTCTGTGGTTTGGTGCTATGTCGTTCTTTGGCTTCGACACTTCCCTTCCCAGGGACAAGCCTGAGGGCGCAGGCAAGGGTATTTTTGAACACACAAACCCTTTCGCCGAGGTCGCAAAAGCTAGGAAATTGCAGGCGTTCCAAGACAGCCAGGACGAGATGTAGGTGACGATTCCTTACAAGCATGATATGCAGGTTCTAAGTTTTTTCCAGTCTCGACTTCGAAGATACATACGATGGCCTAGGCGATCAACTCGAAGAGGCCGGCGATGACTTCAACGATGATACCTTTGGTGGCGGCGCTGAGGGTGCTACAGGCCACGGCGCCGTGGGACAAGATTATGACTTTTTTGGGAAAACGGCACAGGTCTCAAATGTCATCAACGAGGAGCATGTGCGCTACAACTTGCAACATCCACAACAATCGGCAGCGCACGCGCAACCCGCAAAGGCCAAGAGGACCGGATATGAGAGATATCAAGATCCGGGTTACATTCCAGATATCCAGGCAAAATCCGGGGCTTGGGGCACAAAGTCAAGCACAGCCGCTGCTCCATCTGGCGATGGCCGCATCAGTACGGCTCGCAGTACTGCTCCAGTGTTTTCCGTTGCTCCTGAGCCTTCACCACCACCGGCACCCATTTCGCAACCTCCTATGATGACCCTCGAACAGGTTGAGGCAGCGCTGCTCGCTGAATCTCAAGCGCGACAGGCACAGCTCGCATATTCTCAACCTCAGCCATATCCGTTCCCAGTCCAGCCAATGCACTCACAACCTGCACAGCACTTCCCAGGCATGGGACTTCCTCCCGGCTTGCCTCCCCAGCCTCAATCGCAGCCTCCTCTCGATGCTCCTAGGAGTCATACGCGTATGCCCTCACAGCCACGTGCACCTCAACAGCCTCAGCAGCCTCTGCAAATTCTGCAAAATCCAAACAGAGCCCGTCATTCACCTCAGCCAAGTCTTGATAGATCTCAACCCATCCCACCAATGGGAGCTCAAGCACCTGGTGCCTTGCCGGTCATAACTCATACTCAACAGCTAATGGATCTCTCTGAGGAACAGCGACGAGTGTATCTGGAAGAAGATACCAAAAGGGCAAAGAGGAATCATAAGATCTTCCTGCTTTCCAAGGGAAATGGCATGATGACCCCTCAGGATAAGAATTTCATCACCCGCATCCAACTTCAGCAATTGGTGGCGGCCACGGGCAGTTCGACGGACGCGAATCCCGAAGCTGCTCTGAACGAAGATTTTTACTACCAGGTCTACAGCCAGATCCGGGGCGCTCCAAGACAACATCCTACTCAACCTCTAGGTCATTTTGCGCAAACCTATCTATTCCAAACGGGTTCGCGTGTAGGCGGCAGACGCCAACAGATCACCGGAGACAACCACATGCAGAGAATGCAACAACAAGTCCAGCGTGCAGTTGAAGCTGCCAAGCTCAAACCGAAGAACAAGCAGCTAATCATCGAGGGCAGCTTGGGTAAAATCTCCTTCAGCAATGCAAAGACACCAAAGCCTCTGCTCAACATCAAGCGACAAGAGGGGACTGACAACCGGCCGGCAAATGCGAGAAAAGGTGTAAGTGCCAGTGACCGCAAGACGATTTTGAAGAATATCGAAGCTGTGTATACAACCCTGATGCGCATGGAGGATCATGAACGACAGATGCCGCCTCCACCTACTGAAGGCGACGCGGATTCAATCCAGGCACATCTTGAGTGGCGACAAAAGCAACAGGAGCTCGGCAACAGTCTATGGCAAGATCTGAAGGTTCTCGATCCCATCGTCCCGGGATCGACCATTCCACATCCCTTTATTGCCTTCTTGTCATTTGCCAAAGGCAAAAAGGCAATTCCTCGTGTCTTCCATCAAATTGATCAGGACAAAAGACTGACCATCTTGACGATGATTGTGGTCCACCTTGATCAGCTTGATGTAGTCAAGGATGCGCACCCTGCACCCGGCGAATCACAACCTCCGCCACTTGTGCGGGAAGAAATCGAGTTGTTCTCACAAGCCGTCATGCCGTGCTTGTTATCGCATGTTAGCGAAGTACCCGTCAATATCATCACCGGCCTGTTAGGGCTTCTGATCGACCACACAAATATCTCGGTGGTTGTGCACACCAAAATTGGGTTGGGTATGCTGACGATGCTGTTGACCCGCGCCGAATTGGTGAAGGAGGCCGGTTCCGTCAGTGATCAGGACTGGCAACAGTGGACCATGTTATACAGTCGCCTTTTTGATATGTTGGAGCCTCTTCTTAGTTCACTATTCCCTGGCCCGGTCAATTCCGGCGAGGACATGTACGTTTGGCAGTTCCTGGCTGCCATCGGCATATGCGCCAGCCCCGACCAACAACAGAGGCTTGTTATCGGTGTGAAGGACAGGGTTATGGAGACAGTCCTTCAGAGCAAGACATTGCCCCCTGAAATGTCGAGCGTCCGACTAGGAAATGTCAATCTATTCATGAGAGCCATTGGACTTGATGTCGAGATGCTGGGATAGGCACGAGAAGAGCAGGACATACCATTTTGAAGAGATGTGCCCACTTACCTGAGGTAGGATTTCGCCAACAGCAGGATAGCTAGGGAGCAGCATATTTATCAGACCAGATCCCGGCTATTGGAGCTGGCACAACTCTGATATTGGAGTATATTGCATCCTGAGCGAACATGAGTTTTGGTGAATATCGATCTGCCACTTCTGGCTGTCTTTGACATTGTTGCAACTTGTTTCTTTTACTTGCAACCTGTGACCGAGTTACAGGTTAGTTTGGTCGTCTCCAACGTCTCCTTGTATGTTGCTCTGCCGTCAACGTCTTGTTTGTGCTTGTTTCAGTATCCTCTTTTCTCCCACAATCGCCACATTCTCCTCCTGGGGACGCCGTCTATCCATGTCTCACTAGCTCTCCAGGTCAGGGGCGGGCGACATTGCCACTGTAATTGAGCATCTACTCACTCCAGGTGTTGACATGGCTGCTGCTTCGTTTTGCCGTGTGCATATCTGAGTCGGGCAGACTCTGTGTTCTTCCCTGGCCAACGGCATTGCGCATGCGAACACTTCTTGTTCTAGCGGGTGAATGGAATGGCTTGTCGACACGTTCTCGCTATGAGAGTTACGGGAGGTATGTAGCTGCCGAGGAATGTATGTATATAGCTACTTACAGATAGCTAGTATATAAGGGTTGCTTTGAGAGAATTACGTCGAGGTTTTGTATTCTGTATTCTGTGTGTTTTATATTTTTGTATTCCCTTTGCGTACCGCAATGCCTATCGCTCGACCTCTAGCACACTGTCTGTCCCTCAAACTATGTGACCATCTAACCCGGGAGGTTTCAACAGGTGACAGCTACATTAAGTATTCATTCATTGATGCGTGAGGTCCAAGTATATACCTCGACCCTCGACCCTCGACCCTCGACCGAAAAGAGGAACAATCGAAAGAAAAGAAAAGCCGTACTTGGTTCACCTCACCTCATCACATCACATACATATATATTTTACATCCGAACACATGAATACCTTGCATGCAGATACAGATGTAGAGACACAGCAGACATACGTTGATAGTGAATATATAGGTATATATATCCCTTTTCTACAATTTCTTTCGCAATCGGCCATAGGATATGGAATACAGGGCTTCCCGTTCGCTCAGCCGTACTTAAGCCATATGCCGATCAGTTAGTACTACCGTGGGTGACCAGGTGGGAATCCTGA